CGTGAGAACTTGAAGCCTTGTCAAGGACACCAGAACCAGTGTGGATTTGAAGCAGACGGTTCCTATAACAAAGTGGATTTGTGATAAGGATTATGTAAGGCATTGGGGATTTGGCTGGGAAAACTATTGTTTAAGTCTATGAATTGATGTTGGAGCCTCAGAGTTAGTTTTTCTTCAACATAACCAAGGTGTATATTCAATAAACAATAACCTTTTTGGAAACGAAATGAACTTGGAGTTTTATTTGGATTCTCGAGATGGATGTTGACAGGTAGTTAATGACCAGATCACTGTCTATATCACTGTCAAACTTGGCCCTTTTACGACTTGTGGACCTCAACTCGCAGAATTCCTCAGCCAGACACGCTGGCTGAGGAATCCTGGGAGTTGAAGTCCACAAGTCATAAAAGGGCCAGGTTTGAAGACCCCTGGTCTATATAATAACAAGTACTTGACTTATGCAGTTCATTTAGTGACCATTCAAAGTTACAACAGTACTGAAAAAGTAACTTATGACTGTTTTTCACACTTTTGACCTTTGTAGCATCCCCATGGTCATGTGATCAAAATTCAAATGCTTGGCAACTGACTCATATTTGTGACTAGGAATTTAGCATCACAGCAGAGAACTAATCTTTGTCAAGCCTAATTTGGATATACAGTAAATATTATTATGCAATGCTCTAATGCCAACAGGTGCTTATGATTGATTAGATGCTTCATTGTCCCCTCCGATATTAAATCCTTTTTAATGCTCAAAAAAATTACTGCCAGCCCTAATGGCTGATGCTTGTCTGGAAAAAAGCTATGCCAGGGCAAAAATCTTTGCAAAATATTTTTGGCAAAATATCAAGTGACCACAGCTACCACCAGACCAACAGAGAATAAGTACCATTTATGCATTTATTAATTTATATCCCACCTTTATTATTTTTGTAAATAACTCAAAGTGGCAAACATTTTGTAAGAGGTGATCCAAGCAGATATGGAATTGTGTGTGGTTGTAAAGGCTACTACTGTGTTATTTTTTGTATCCATTATTGGTAGGTAAACATACAATTTATTTTATTTATTTAAAATTTGAAACAGCCCTTCTCCCTCACAGAGAGTCTCTGAGTCTTGTCTGAGCATATTTCTGTTTTAAACCTACTGCTATGACATCTCTGAAGCTGGCAATCAAATCTCCTCATTTCTCATTTGATTTCCTCATTTCTCATTTGATTTCCTCATTTCTCATTTGATTTCCAAGTGAGATCTTTAGCATTTGCCTTTCCTTTGTGTTATGTATTGGCTTGAAAAGTTGTGGTTGTTATGAACAGTTGTTATATATTTGAAAGAGTCTCCAACTTTTTTTGGAGGGAAATTGCAGTCTGAAAATAAGCGGGGAAAATACCCTTTAAAACTGATTGGTCGCCGCCTAATGGTGGCAATGTATAAATAGCTATCAGAGTGACACGTCTGTGTTTTTGCACCAATAAAGAGCAGTTGTGTTACATCGGTCTGTCTATGCCTCAACAAACGCAATACACAATACTTTGTATGTTATGGGAGTCAAAGATTTTATATATCTGATTTCCATAGATGCTATGCTTCACTGCTGGAAGCAATGGCATTTGCTTTTGTCATGGTGTTGCCCATCTGTTTGAGAACTGTTTTTATGTGATTAAAACTGAGCCACCCTCCTTTTCTACTGCATCCTATTTCTTGATTAATTTTGTGTATGTGTTTCACTTTTTGGCCAAAAATATATACAAGAATGTACTATTTGGGCTACTGTTACATGGTAAATGCCCAATACTTCCGTCGTTGCACATACTGTATTCCATTTTTCAGGACATCCGGCTAAATATGTTAACAATTTATAAGGAAGTGAGATGATTAAAATGTTAAAACCTAGAACAAAGGAGTAAAAGAGAATGGAAGAAACTGAAATATCTTTCCCAAATTAGAGAGATTAAGGGACAGCAAGACAGTACTTTTCAAACTGGTGTAGCTGGTAAAATGGAGGACAATTTTCCTCAAAAGCCTGTTTTAGAAAAGAAGGAATACATTCACACTGCATTTTCTATAGATTATGTTTTCCTACAAACGTGTCTATGGAGATTCTCAGTCATGAGAAGTGAAAAAAAGCAAAACAAGGAAAGTCCAGTTACATTTTGCTACTTTCCAGGGCAAAACCCATAACTCGCTCTGTTGAGTCCCTCGCGAAATGGCAAGACACGAGAAGCAGTTGTAGTTCTCAGATTTGCTTTATTCTTCATTTAGCTTACAGATCGAATGCTTCGGCAATGCCCAAAACTCCCGGCCTCTTATATAGGCCTTTCCCGGGTCAATGTGTTACTTTTCGCGTGCCAGCACCCGTGCATGCGCATATGCGCTGGCAACAGCCTGTCTGGTCCCAGGCAGCTTGCACCTGCCCGGGACCGCCTGCAAACGCCCCGAGCCCGTTTGCAAAGCTCGGGACATAACACGCTCTGTTCCCGTTGCTGAAAACGGATTATGAATGCATGTGCCTTAAACACAGAAAAAAAGCTAGGACTCAAATAACATTTTTTTAAAAAACTAATGGAGTACTTTTGGGTGAACTTTGTAAGGGCTGTCAAAAGAAAGAGCATATTTTAAGAAACTTATCTTAAAAATTATTATTTATCAGTCAAAGGTCAGAGATCAAGTTTACATTGAACCTGTAGCTCTAATGGAACAAATCTGCAGCTGCTTTAAAAGGACTGGATTTCAGATTCAGTAGAACGGTGATGCTTATACTAACCATTGAAGATCCATTTCAGTAAAAATTCTAAGACTTAACCAGGCTTCTGCCATCTAAATCAGGGGTCCTCAACCTCGGCAACTTTAAGACTTGTGGACTTCAACTCCCAGAATTCCTCAGCCAGTTGGCTGAGGAATTCTGGGAATTGAAGTCCACAAGTCTTAAAGTTGCTAAGGTTGAGGACCCCTGATCTAAATGGCCTATGGGTGGTCCTTGACATAAGCATAATTGAGCCCACAATGATGGTCCTAGGTTGTTCCTGTTGTTTAGCAGATCATCACATGACTGGCCAAGTTTGTGACATTTCACGGTGGCCATTAAGTGAATCACTGTGGGCCTTAAGTGAACGTTGTGGGTGTTAAGCGATCACAGCAGTCATTAAGCAAATCCATTGTCGCAATGGACATTTTTTTTTTTGCTGAAAACCAGAAGTAAATGCAACCAGTTGTAAGTTCAGTACTCCTTGTACACCTAGAATGGAGTATTAGATTAAAAATATAGGCTCATTTATGTGATGGTCCTTGGTTAACAACCACTCATTCAATGACTGCTTAAACCTGCCAAAGTTGAGGCCGCTGCAACATCTTCGCAGTCATGCAAGGTTGCAACTTTCCATGCCAGCTTTCCATATGCAAGTCAATGGGGAAGTGGTAGGAGGTGTGAGGCCCTTGCTTAATGACCATGGTGATTTCACTTAATGACAGCAAGCAGAAATGACAGAACTTCTGTTACCAAGTGGTTCACTTACCTGCCATCATACTTTATAACTGTCACTTCGCGACAGCAGTTTCAATCCCCATTGCTGTCATTAACTGAGAATTCTATGAATTATATAATATCCAGTAGCAGGTAAGAGAATAACAAATACTATTTCCAGACATGTGTTGAGATTAATTGATATACGGAATACATGAATAAATGTAGTTTTTGAGTTAGGATTTTGGGTTTTTTGGGGTGTGTGTATGAGACAGTGGAAGTGGTTTATAATTGCTTTCTTCCAGATTTTCTTTTCCTTTTAACTTTACAGACTAGCCTTTAGCCTTGGGATTTCCTGGTGGTGTCCTGTTCAAGCACTAACCAAATCTGAATAGGCTTTGGTGATCAGCCAATTTAGCTGAGTAAAGGCTGGCATCCTTTTGCTTTGCCTAGAGCTGGAGTCGTTCCCATCTCTACTCTGAGGAGTAGACTAAAATAATAGAGGTGGAAGAGACCTTGAAGGTCTTCTAGTCTAACCCCTTGCTCAAGCAGGAGACATTATTCCGGACAAATGGCTATCCAATCTTTTCTTAAAAACCTCCAGTGATGGAGCACGCACAGCTTCTGGAGGCAAGCCGTTCCACTGATTAATTCAGAGGTGTAATAAAATAGATTTTTAAAAAAGGTTAAAAATGGGTTAAAATGGGTTAAAAGCAGTGTTAAAAAGGGTTAAAAAGTTAAAATAAAAATAAAAGAAAATAGAAGAAAGTTTTAACTTTTGGAGGAGCTCTTTACAGCCTTTGCTGCCTGTCCATCATCTTGGCTCCTCCCCCAAGGTTGAAAGCTAATAAAATAGATTTAATGCACATGTGGGAAGAATTCTAGTGGCTGGAGGTTAACACCCCCCCCCACCAAAATCCCTTCCTTTCCTCTGTCTTTGGCTTCAGCCTATTCCAGTGACAGTGATTATGTTTCTCCAGTCCTTCTACCAATAAGGGGGTGGAAATGTTCTAGGCCTCTCACAGAGTGGGGTAATGAAAAACTTCTTCAATAAAACACACACACACACACACACACACACACACACACACACACACACCACACACCACACACACACACACATAGTTGCAATTGGATATTGTTTCATACATTCATGCTTCTGTTTATAATTGGGGGAACAACAAAATACCCCTTATGAGCTTGCAGTGGGATGGGTGAACATTTTATTCCCAAGGCAGTGGGTGGAATCTCCATAAGTCTATGCACTGTCCTTCTGAGACTGGCAGAGCGCCATATTGTAGGAGGGAAGAGAGCAGAAAACAAAGACCTTTTTCTGGCCTGGCAAAGCCTCTTTCATCTTGATAGGTTTCCTCCATTCCATGTAAACAAGAAGAAAGTTTTGCATTATTACTGCAGAGTTATGTCTGCATAAGTTTATATTAGCTTGTGTAACTTTAAGGATTGCCCATCCTCCCCCGCAACCCCCCCCCCAGCCGCTATGTCCTGAAATACTCTGGAGTGTTCGCTCCCACTTTCTGTCTGCAGATATTTGATAAGCCAAGAAGTGAGCTATAATAAGTTTGCACAACTTCCAAACTGTGGAAGAATTATCTTGGCATTGACTGGGTATTTGAAAATTGAATCAGCTTGTGTCCTGAGACAGGTGAGTGATCGGCTATTAGCATGTTTGAGCAAAACGAATGAATAAACAAAAAACTAAGCAGCCCAAATTACAATGTATTGACTTTTGTGATTGAAACAAGCTACTTTTTTCTTATTTTAATTGGTATTTAGCCAACGGCATTGTAATAGCTTTGTGAAAGATACACCTGTTCAAGTTTTTCTTTAAAGCTTTAACTACTGAAAAGCTCTTTTTTATTGGCTTATTCCTTATTCAGAGTGGAAAACAAAATAGTTTCGTACACTGTTTTGTATTAAACTATGTGAAAAATAGTTCCAATTCTGTTGACTTACTAATGAGCCCAGATAATAATTGTCTTTTTTAAAAAACTGAGTACAGAAACTTGTGTTCTTAGATTCATGTATATTTGTATTTCGGTGCTAGGACAATTTTCTGTAATCAAAAGAAATAAAGAACTAAACAGGGCATTTGAAGATGGCTTTGTTTTGCACCATTTGTTTTGCTTCTGAGACTTTTCTAAATAACTTGCTTGTAAGAAGCAAGGGATAATGCTGACAATAATGTGGAATGGCTGGCCAAAAGTTGCAATTGTATTTGCTTGTAAATATATAGAACTGGACTATGTTCACGTTGACAAATCATACACATATCTGTAGTTATAATTTGTAAAACATGGAAAGGTGTGAAATGAGAACCACCATCTCTGATTGCACATGTAGCTTGATAGATCCATCTTCTTGGGCCTGATATAAACCGATTAACTTTGGTCTCTTTATTAAGGTATTAGGATTTTATTAGCCTGTATTAAATCTGAGGCAAAGTCATAATGAAAACTTCACTTCTTTATTCGAAATAAAAAAATGTATCAATCATTTTAAGGCATTAGATGGTACTCAATGACCAGTGGGGCCCAATCAGATGGGTCCAAAAGTCAAGATGGTGGATCTTAGAGTATCACTGATGGAAAACCAAAAGATGGTTGGACATAAGCAAGAGTTGCCTTTGGGGTCTACCTTGTGGTGTTCACTGATAATCATCCAGTGACCTTGTTTTGAGTGATTCAATTCCTCTTTGGAGGGCATAATACTAAAGTTCATCTACAGAGTTGCTGTGAAGGGTATGTTGTGCATCTGGCAAAGTCGTTCATATTCGCTCTATGGTGGACTCCAGCTTTAAAGCAGAGTTAATGGAGGTGGTGGGGGCTACGTCTTGCAAAGTGACGTGGGACGACTTTGAGCCCGTGGAACCTGAGGAAGAGGACAGGACCTTCTCAACTGCTAATTTGGCCACTTCTGTGTTAGATCTGTACCCCTCCTGGCTTACTAAGGCTGCATAGGATTGGGTCTGGGCAGTAATTCTTCCTTGAAAGAGTGAGTGTTCCACCCGCTTTTAAATAGGCAGTGATTTGCCCCCTCCTCAAAAGATCTCAGTCCAACTAAGCTGAACAGCTTTTGTCCAGTTTCCAATCTTCCTTTTATAGGGAAAATTGTGCGGAGAGTGGTCACATGGTAACTTCAGAGGACTCTGGATGACATGGATTATTTTTCAGTCAGAATTCAAGCCAGAGTTTGGGACTGAGATGGCATTGATTGCACTCATAGATGACCTCTAGTGCAGGGCTTTTCAACCAGTGGTACGGGTACCACCTGTGGTACATTGGCACCTGGCAGGTGGTATGCGACCATCCTAGAAAAGTGGTAGTGGGGGGGGGAATGAGCTGAACTGGTGGCAGCACCGCAGAAGCCTGAGCGAGAGATGGCTGGAGTTGCAGAGCTGTCATGGGTCAGTGGAAGCGCCAAGATCAGCGCCAGGGTCCAGCTGGAGCTCGGTGCTGATCCTGGCGCTTCTGCTGAGCCCAGAGAAGTGCCGATCAGCTGGAATGTTGCAGCATCTCCAGGGTCTTGTGATTTACATTCAGATGCTTGGCAACCGATTCATATTTATGACGGTCACAGTGTCTCAGGGTCATGTGAAGTGACCAAAACCTGCTGCAACCACTCAGCAGACAGGAGGAATAAAAACCAAACACCCCCCACTCCACCCCCACTGCCAATCCTCAACAGAAATCCTCACAACAATGAAAACCTCAGACAGGAGGAAGAGCACCACCAGGTGGGTAGGCAGGTGTCTTGCTCCACTGTGGCTTGGGGGGCACTTTTTTCAGTGCCATTGTAACTTTGAACAGTCACTAACCAAACTGTTGTAAGTCGAGGACTATCTGTACTTTATACGTTTTTGACACCTTGCTAGGCGACTGGTGGTACTCATATGTTGCCATATCCTAAAAGTGGTACAATGGGTGAAACGGTTGAAAAGTCCTGCTCTAGTGGAATGGGATGGAGGAAGCGTATTCATCCTGGGTCTTCTTAACCTCTTAGTGGTGTTCAGTACCATTGATCATGGTGTCCTTCTGGGCTGGCTTTGGGAGCTGGGAGTGGATGGTACTTTATTGTGCTAATTTTCCTCCTTTCTCTGTCAGCCAAAGAGTGTCGAATAGGGCAACTGAGAAGATGGGCCTTTTTTGCAATAGCTCCTGCTCTGTGGTACATCCTCCCCTTGGAGAGTAGAATGGCCCCAACTCTATTGGCCTTTTGTAAGGTTTTAAACACTTGACTATGTATCCGGGTGTTGGGCTCGGAATGTGTTAAGGGTCCTGTTTTTTTGGCTTTGATGTTAGTTGCTTAACTATCTTGGCTGCTATGCGTATTTATTTTTTGGATGCTGTTATTATTGTAAATTGTTTAAACTATTTTATAGTTTTAGAATTGTAACCCACCCAGAGCCACTTGACTGAGATGGGCAGCTATAGAAATTAATTAAATAAATAAATTTTAAAAAAATAACATTAAGTTTAGGTTGGGCAACCGTTCATCACCAAGATATCCCAAGAAGAGACAAAGCTTCTTTTAGGAGATTCCAATAGATATGACGTAGGTACTTTCATATCCCTGCTTCAAAACACATTTTCAGCTTCAGATCTGAAAAGCTACAATCCCATAATACTCAGATATAACCTGATAAATGACAAAGTAATATATATTTGTGCACACCAACTAATAACATCAGTGTTATACGAGTATATGCATTTATTACAGATGCAGTGGTGAAAGACGTGAGAATTCCATGGAAATGGCAAAAACTGCTAAAGGCAACTAACAAGTCATTAGTAATGAATTATTAAAATGCAAAAACTGTAGAAATGATGGAATCTGGAATTACAAGATATGGATTTAGTAAATGCAGTAATGTAGGAGATTGGTTAAAATAATTTTATGGAGAAAATTTTTTGTTCATTTCTAAACCTGCAACACAAACACAGTGCTTATCTGGATAGCATCAGATAAGATGGAAAATATTGGGATCAACCTAACAGGAGGCAGAGGATGGAGAAATGTAATCAACTTGGCCAGCTAGGACACTTCAAGATGCAAAGTGTGGAACAGACCATAAATTATTGGACTCTAATGTATTGATTAAACTTAGGAAAGTAAAGAGTAGGTGTATCAATAAGATCCTACTGTAGGATATATAGTCATAATATACAACCAAGGAAAAGAATAGATTAAATATAGTTAGGTGAAAGAGAATCTGAGGAAGAGCTAAGAGACATTGTGTAAGCTAACCTAGAAAAAAAAAAGTGCTTTCAAAATTTCATGGGCAAAATGCTCCAAATGGCTTTCAGAACCAGTATTTATAAAAGGTGGTTATACTGTTCAAGGGCCATACCAGTCCTTCCCATAATGATAAATAAATGATAGTTAAATTGAGCAGATTAAGGGTTTTATTTCTTCTATCTCTTGGAAGGCTGGCAACTTAATAGGGATTCCATAAAGGCTGCATGAGTTTCTGGTAATTTAAATAAGAGCTGAAACTTACATCTAGGAGGCCAGTCTCTTACCCAGCTCATCGTCAGATAAATATTTACCCTTTTGGAAGAAGCAAATAGATTCTGATTTGGCTTTTTGTGCGATTTCACCTCACACTTACGGACTTATTTGAGGTCTTGCAGAATGTTTTTGATTTTGATGTGCAAAACTAACATTGCACATCATTGCTAGAGAAGCCTTGCTGATATTTCTCACACCAGTGGTTTTAAACACAGCCATTTTAAAGTACGCAGGGTTCATCTCCAAGAATTCTCCAGCCAGTATGCTGTCTGGGAAATTCTGGTAGTTGAAATCCACACATCTTAAAATTGCCAAGTTTAAAAAACACCATCTTACATCACCCCTCCATATTTCTGCAATATTCTTTCTGCCCCATTGAAGGATACAGAATGTATGGCAAAAGATTGGACAAGATCAATGGATATGTATGCCAAAAAAGAGAATTGCAAAAGAATATGAGAGTTACTGAATCACTGTGCTAATTCTTTGTGCAGACAAGAGTTGTTTAAGATCAATGAACAGAGCCATAAAAGGAAAGAAAAGTATCAGATGAACATGTAGATTTCACAGAAAGAAGAAGGGTGTGAGATTTGATAGCTAGTCACTTCCATTTTTTTTAAATGAGAAGCTATGTAAGAAGATAAAGATGGATAATGGAAAGAACCAGACACCACAAGATGGTTTTGCATTCTTTTATTATTGCAGCAGGACCTTTAACTACATGGATAATGCCAGGATGTGAAATATATCAAGAATAATGGGCGGGCCAGAACACTTTTCTCTGAGGAAGAAACTAAATACAACTGTGCTTGGAGAAACAAAGTAATTAAGAACTGAGAAAAGAGTCCAATACTGTACCTGTTTTACTACAAAGGTAAGAATGGCAGAACTGGAATTGATGACTGCTGAACTGAAACGGAGGTCAAAATAATTTGACTAATGGATTACACTACTTTGTCAGACTTTCTAAGACTTCATTGTTTTCAGCAAAATGCAGAAATGTGGAAACTAATTGGATGGTACTAATATAAGCAGTTTACAGAGTCAGCATATTGCCCCTAACAGTCTGGTTCCTCATTTTACTGACCTCGGAAGGATGGAAGGCTGAGTCAACCTTGAATCGGTCGGGATCGA